CCAGGTTTACTTGAAACCAGCCAGGCTTTCTTCTTGAGGAGATGGATGTCCGGTGCAAAAAAATGAAACTTGAAGAAAAAAACTGTACCTGAAGTACCAGGTTTTATTTCTTGGTAAATATTGGTTTTCTCACATAAAGATCGTCCTATGTGGATATGTTTTTAAAATGCGCGACGATTAAAACTTGCCGACACAGTTTCTATTTCTCATTGGTTGCTACACAGTCTTTCTCCGTAAACCAGGTTTTCTTTATATGGGCAATGAGGCTTCAAAGTACTACTTGGAGTCCAAGGTTTGTATTTCTTGTTTAAATGGGTTTCCACCATAGAGTCTTATCCTGACAAAGGTGAAATCCAGGGTTTCTTCGAGTAGTAAATGGTTCTTTGTAGCAAGAGGAGTAAAACTTACAGTGTACAGTTTCTATTTGTGTTTTGAGATTAGTTCTCTCGCAGTCTTACTTCGACAGGGAGATTTTATTCATGAAGCAATGAATTATTTATCCAAAGAATAAAGGTTTGAGTTTCTATAGGTTGTTTGAGATTGATTTTCACACTGCCTTTCTCCGATATCCGAATTCAATTCACGAGAATAATAATTAATTGTTTGAAGCACAATGAATAAAACTTGAAGTTCACGGTTCATGATAGTTGCTTGCGGTTGGATCCCCCAGTTTTGCGGCGATAACCAGGTTTTATTCATCAGGTAAATTGTTTAAAGCACAATTAATTAAAATGAGAGATGACTTCAACTTGCTCACATGTTTAGGAATCATTTCATCTAAAAGAGACGCAATGTATTTATCTGGTATAGAGCTGTGTCCAGTGTCCACTGGTGCCCAAACATTGTCCACTTCACGCCTCGTCGCTTGAGCCCCAATTCCAAGCGACACAAGAAAACATCATTTGGTCGTCCCGAACACCTGTCAGGAGCAAAAGGGCTTGTTTAGAGATTTTACGCTAGAGCACTTTATTTTAGCAGGAAAGTGTCTCAATTTCACGACATGGCCGAAGATTTTCTAAGTTTGTAAACACTCTTGAAATACAATGAATACTACGTATTACTTGATCTGTAACATTGATTTATTAGCATTGGTACGATCCATGCTCGTTTGTGTGTTTGTTTTGTTAACTATTCATAAATCACAGAACCTAAAGGATATTTTCTCAATTTTGTGTTTTTTTGTGTTTTTACGTTTCACGTTGAAACGTCTCTACCAATCATTGAAAACAATTTTCCCGGTACCCAATGGTGCGATTTTGGTTTATTATATTGTACTCGTATCTGCGGAGTACATTATTTGAACTACTTAAGTAATTAAATAGATCATCTCCAAGTCAGTTTGTAGTTTTGTGTTATCAACGTGAGTTCATTTAACACAAATTTAATCTCTAAACACGCAGAATGTCTGACTTCTATACCATTAGATTTTAACTGTCCGCATTTAAAAAACAACAAAGCGTCTAAAATAGAAAGCTCTTATGACAAGTTGATTTAAATTATTGGTTTATTGATGTTTTTCTTGATTAAAAGGCGTGATTATTAGGATATATTCTTTTGTTACAATTTTCTTGGATCAGCAGCGTATTCACTATTACACCATTAGCTGACGGTTTGGTTAGTGTTATGAAACTTCTATTATTCACTACATTGGAACTTTGGTCGAACCGAGGACTTCCAGATATCGAACTAAGAGATCTGTCCAGTTTGTCACGTGGTCAGTACAAAGTGTGAGACCAAGGACTATTATGTCATGAATGACTCCTGGTCAGCGGGTGTGAGAATCAATATTTGGAGCACCGCAGCACCCGAGCAAGATGTCCCCGTGACAAAGATAGGGAGATCAGCTGTCCCTGAAGCGCAACAGTTGGCACCCCTGCTGGGTTATTGTGGCAACACTGCTCGATTGTTGGCCTGTCCGGTCGATTTCGATGGTTCACAGCACACAAGATATGTGCTAGCTACCTTTCTATACCTTTTTCACAGTTTGCTTTATTTTCGGCCAATAAAAAGCTGGGAAGTGGGTCTTCCACCAATCGTGTTGAGGCGCGTTTCGTTTAAGCTCTGTACTGGTTTTACTTTCAAATACACGCTTTTGTGTAGTGTGTAATGAAGAGAATGTATAAAAAAATGTGGCGATGGTCTTTGGGGATGGCATACTCTAAATATGGAATAATAGAGGGACGACTTATTTAAAATACTGATGTACTGGTTTGTGAACCATTTAAAATAAGTTGTTAAAGAAGGGAGATATGAAGTTGTCTCAACCAAAGAATAATCGTTTGATGATGGGTTGAGGGTTTAATGAATGCAGCTGTATATAAATTTGAAGATTTTCAATAAAACATTTTACAATAATCAGGTCAATATACTTGTTTATCAAAAATATTTATCCACCTTGAGTTAATTTCGTCTAAGTCCAAATTAGGTAGGTACTGTACTGTATTTATACAGTTTAACATGTACGGTAAACTGAATCGTATACACAAACTCATAGAATAACATGTGATCTCTAACACCCTAAAATGACTTTGTAATACAATATTTTTGACATTTCTAGATCACTCCCAGTTTGACACGCCCAGCCATTGACGCAGTTCCGGCGGCGTCGTGCCCACTGACTGTTGGTAGTAATTATCAGCTGGTTGTCTCTTCCTGTGGGAGCGCCGCTATCAGTCAACACGCCACGGCTACATGCACTACTGAGCGGGTCATAGTCGTACTTGTCAGGAATACCATGTGACGTCATCAGCAGATCACTCTATTGTGAATGTGGGGTCTTTTACCGAATGTCTCCGCTTTTCGATAAATCTGTCTGGATGGTACGGGACTTTGTATCGTGGTAATGATGTTAGTGAGAATATACGAAGAATATTTAAACATAAAATAAACTAACCGAACTAGCATCGACGTGTTCTTTCTGTCGATTCACCATCATTTAGGATAGCTAACGTGTGTGGGATAGGTTAGGTTAGTAGCTTAAAAGTAAACCAAGGTGTCATATAACGGTTTTTACATCATCTTGCTTTAGACCTAATATCTTCAAGTAGAAGTCTCTTAAAATAGTTTTACCATCATATATTGATGCTAGTTATTAACATAGCATAAAATTCTAACTTGTTGGGATTGGTTATAATATTAGGATTCGTTAAGATTTTGGCTGACAATTAAGCCACAGTAATATTTTTTAGCTGCATTATAATCTCGGATTTGTTTGTTTTTTTAGAAGTCTGAAGCCCATTTTAATTGGCATTTCACTCCCGTTTCGCGTGAGTACCAAATACACAGTGTTTCAGTCTTAAATTTGCGAGCAATTTGCTCGTAGCAAACAATTTTGACTGAGCATTTGTTTTAGACAAATATATTAATGTGGTAGTTACAACTAGTTATAGTTTGACGTTGGTAAATGTATGTACAATAAATAAATTGTAAACTTAAAAACTAATCTAGCATTTACCGAATGAATATGTTATGCAAATGGGCGAAAAATACATAAGAGAGTGTACTGTAACTTCTCTGTGGATTTCATCATAGTTGTTATTAAATTAATTACCCAAATGTTATTGTTCATTTCATTATGGTGGTTAAAGACTGTTTCACTGTCTGTGGGAGCTTGTTGACCAACTTGTTTGACAAGCAAGTGTCATTCACTGCTAGACTGTTACATAAACGGAGTTTTGTTTTACCTGTTTGGGTTGTATTTTGTTTACATAATCAGCTGTGATCGACGTTATTTACTGGACTCGCTTGGTGTCACTAGTTATTGCCTTGGGAATCCGGTCCTTTTCTTACTGTAACTGTTTGATAAAACTGTTACTTTATATGTTGGGCTACGGTCACTACTACCTCAGACCCTACTATCACAATTTATCTTTTTCCAAAAGAATATAGAGTACTTTTCTGATGAGGAATTAGAATAGCACGCCCTTGTTTATAATTCCATTCTTACTGTAATGGTTTAACGGTTCAAACACTATTTTAGAATCAATTGATATACAGGTATAAATTCTAATAAGGTACAAATAAATACTAATAACTAATAAGGTAAGGTGGTATTAGGGCAAATACGTACAGTTTATGCTGCAGTAATAGTATTCCCATTCGAGCTGTAGGTCCCCAGGTCCACAAAATGTAATATTTCGTCGGGACTAAAGTCTATGATGTTATGTTATAGGAGGTTTTTCGAACATCCATTACAAACATATATGAAAAACTGAATTCGAAATATCTAATGACACTTAACATTTAAAAAATTAGGTCGCACATAGTGGATTCTCAAGACCAATTTACAACAAAACACGAATCGCTGAAAGACATATTTGGGTCGGCTTCCAAGATTTCAGAAAGACCTTTTCCGCTCCAGTGCTTCAAATGTCCCCGTTTTTGGAATATAATACAGCTGGATCGGTCTAATCCAAGCAGGGTTGGGGAAAATATTAGATTATAAGGGGTTAGCTGGTGACAATGCCTCGTGGTTCGGATCCCAGTTAAATCCCTCAAAAGAGCCGAGGTCTGCTACCCCAGGGGTCTGTAGAGGAAGCTTAATATCTTGTTACACTATAAATACTCCTTTGAGAATATTTACCAAGGATGTTTTGTTAAAAACCACAACGGGTTGAGGTGGATTATATTAGTAGTTACATTTTTGAGTAGTCGATGTTTTAGTTTTAGTTTGTAGATCATAGCAGTTATGTTATAAAGACAAATTTAAAAATCTTAAATTTTGGATTATTTATTGTATTTTATGTATGATACATTATTACCTGATTTCTCTATCTCTAATATTAATGGTGAAATTATTAGGCTCATAACAATATTTTTCTGAATAGGGTTGTTCATAACATTATAAATTACGCGATATCCTGAGAGCGGTCATGTTCTCTGTTTGATTTACTGACAGAAATTCAATGAAAATTCATAGAATTTTAATGAGAGCTAGAGGTAAAAAAACTAAAACCTCGTAAATATTTATGAACATTAATATACTTTTCAAGGTGATATAAGGTCACTCATACTGTCCAAAATATTTATTTACAACGAGAGTAATATCATTGACTATTGGATACAGAAGGTAATATTCTATAGCATAATTTACACACATTCACATTTTACATCTTGTACCCTTCAAATATTTAAAAATATACTTCATAATCCAGCGAAGTAATCTTTTAGTACGGTTCTTGTGTAAAAAAGGACTTCAACATAGGTAATGTAAACAAATTATACACTACATAATAATAAATTATTTGAAACAAATTGACCTTTTCCAGGATTTGTCAAATTGTATTCTTACACAAGGGATTTTTAACTCGTCACAAGTTCAGAAGAAGTACATCTGTTCGTCGTAACCCCCTTTTCCTCCGGTGTACAGCGGGTTGTAGTTGTATATGAGCGCCTCGGTTTCTCTGCTAAGGCTGGGGAACTTCTGGTCGTTGGCTCTACTCTCAGTTACCAGCCAGTCGTAGAACAGCCGAGCACTCAGGATGGCCTTGCGGGAGTGAGGGTTGGCCTGAAAGTGAGTAGTGAGTATAAAGTCCTCATGTTAAAGTTCAGAACCGCAGGAGCAAAGGATATTGGCTACAGCCTGGTAAGTTTACCTAGGAAGAGTAAGAGTCCTCAAGGCAAAGTTAAGAACTAAAATGAGCCAATAAAATGGGCTACAGTCTGGTAGCCTAAGTCGACTTAGGGATGTCCTCAAGGAAAACCTAGGTTACTTCTTAAATGTTGTTAGAATAAGTAAATTATATGTTGTCAGTTCCTATTCATCCAATTCTGAAAGAGGACTATGTGTATTGTGTTTCCTTAACAGTTAAAATACATATACCTAAAGCAGAAGAGGATTCCTTGGACAGTCCCAGTCGTAATTGACTAAGTGAGCTGTAAGAGTAAGGATGTAATAAATTATAATCTCAAACACTTTATTCATCAAACCTAGAAGGTCTGAGATGTGACATTCCAATCAAACCATCGACTACATTTAATATCACCTGGTGAGGGTTCCATTCATACATGTTCTTCTCCGGATGGAACTGCACGCCGACGATTGGTCTCTGGAAGTGTTCACTGCTGGAGACAAACTCCAGACCCCCGGCGTCCTTGTTGGTGGACAACACCCGCCAACTGTCCTCTAGGTGGAACTCCTTCAGCTTCGCCTCAGTAACACACTCCCTAAAAATTTCCAAAAATAATGGAATCTTTGCCAAGTACCAAAGAAGTCTGCTTCAACACATCATTCTTTCTTATCAAATGCAAAAGCTGAAGTTTTATAAAATTAAATCTCAGATTCTCAATTTTGAACCACAATTCCCTAAAAGGATTCTACCCAACCTGTGATGATTGGAGGTTACAGGCAAGGTCTTGAGGATATCCAAAATCTCGTTGGACGCTATCTTGTAAATTCGGCTCTCGAGGAAGCCTGGCAGAAATTCTAGCGGGAGAGCGGAGTTGTTGGCGTTGCAGGGTACAAGGAAGTCCATCGGGTTGGAGACCTTGGAGGCCAGGAACATGAGGAACTCGTACCCTTGGCACACTCCTAAAACTGGGAATGATATTCCAGAATCTTGCAGCTGAAATGAAAAGATGCTTTTAACAATAGAGGTGTAAAAGATGTAAGCAATGTTTGAAATATTATTAGGTTTATTTGACGTATTTCCCAGTGGCAAGAACTAGGATATTTAATTATTGAACTGTTGTTACCTTAGCCTTTGTACCTAAGCCTTTGCCTTTCTTCCTTTAACATCTTTCTGCAAGAACAAAGGCTAAGGTAACTACAGTTCAATAATTAAATTATTAGGTTTGTGCTAAGAATATTTTTATGAAGGCAGTTTAAGAATCCGCCACGTAAATTATTTCTCTGTGCTAAAGTGGAAGACGTAGCAATGTACGTTTAAATTTAACTTTTGAAGCTTATTATACATAGGTTTACTAAAACATGCCTCCCCCTCACTAAACATTAAACATATTTATGACTTGCATTTTGCAGCTTTAAAATGCAACAGAAACATTACCCCCCCCCATACCAAGCAGTCCAAAATGTTTCGTTGTACCTTAGGCTGTTAATTACATGTTTTAATGGTAAGCGAAGTATATTTATCATTGTACCTTAACCACTATGTTCAACAGAATTCTACCGGCTGCCGCGTATCCATCAGGAACCGTGAAGTCAGAATCACCTCCAGGTAAGACTAAGCCGTTCACTGAAGACATAATGTATCTGCAAGTCATAAGAATGGTAATTTTTGTTGACAATATGACATTATAATTTGTATTGATACATATGAATTTGGCTTTATAGTGTTTTATAAAAATCATTGATTTCGTATAGGTACAGAATATATTTTTTTTGTAATCTACTTTAGTGGGTAAGTTATTAGCCTACAAGTTAGCCTACAGAACATTCTATAGGCCATCACACGAGCCGCAGGATATTTTTGACTGTCACTTCTAGCTGAATTTGAGCTTACTGTATGTCGATTAGGGTGACAGTTTAACTTAGAGCATAGATAAAAGGAGTATAGACATCTGTCTATACTCCTTTTATCTATGCTTAGAGATAAAAATCATACTACATATATTGAGACTTAAATATTACAGGTTTACTATATATTTTTTTAAGTTAACTCGTTATTAGACACTTACTTGTAGTATTCGAGAGTTTTATTGATGAACACCGGCACAGCACGGGCCCCAGCGGCCTCTACAGCCTTCACGTACCCTGCAGCGACGTAGCTGGTGGCGCCTTGGACCTTGGGCCGCAGGCTGGGTGGAACCTCCTGGGCCAGCACTCCGATGATGGGGCGCTCAGTGGCAGCCACTGGGGGCGCCACTAGAGCCACCAGCGCCACCAACACTGCGCCACCTACCCAGACCATCCTCCTCTCAGGTGTGGTGCCTGAAATAAAATAGGACAGGATTAGAAAGTTACATACTGATTTTATTCACATACCAAAATTAGATTAAAAAATAGATTCGGGGGTCTTTGGGTGACGACCGTGTCAAAATAGGCAACTTATTTTGAACAAAGTGTTGTTATCTTTGTAGATTGTAATCTTTAGAGTGACTTAACTCACAGTTGGCGTATTAAGGGGTGAACAAGTCAAGTCATCTTGATGTCAAGTGTCAACTTGTTACGTCAACAAAGGAAGTCGAATTACTCTGGAGATCGCACTCTGCGTCGAAACCGCTGTTGGTGAATTACTACAATATATACCTAACTACATATATAACTACCACGAATCTGCAAAATTGAACAATTCTGATTACAATCCTGGTTTAGATTTTGAATTGAATATGAATAAAACAACTAGAATCGCTTAGCCCGTAGGTTTAGTGCATTGCTGATTAAATTTTAAACCAGACTCTAACTACAATAGACAACTCATTAAAAAATAATAATGATTCAACCAAAACTAGGTCTGTGAATCTATAAACGAGGATCGGATGTTGTTTTGAGGATTATTGCGTCTAGAGTCATGTATAATATGCAAAAATAAGCTCTATATGTTTAGCAAATATTTTTAGATTTATATTCCTCCAGAACAATCGTTAATTGTATTTATTGTTAAACTAATTCCCTTAGTCCACAATCAAATTTAGGAGATTGAATTGAACATTGAAGTGTAGGTATACTTACATAAGTATATGTGCAACGACCAACCAAACTAGACTGGATACAAAAACCCATCTGAAAGTTAACATTTTCAGTAAACTCGATTAGTAACAGCAACATGTATTGTTATCTTTGACTAAAGTCATTTTAAGTGATAACTTGATAACAAAACTATTAATTCTGATAAGTTCTTTGGTCTTGAGAGGTAACGCTGAAATGATTGGTAAAACGATTAGTTTGTTAACGTTTATAAAACTAGTCACATAAGAACTTATTGCAGGCTTAAGTAAAAGAGCAATCACTTATTTTTTTATTGTTGAAGGAATCGTCATGTAATGAGAGACGACTACTAATGTTGAACTAACTGTGCTACAAACTAATTATTGGAGGGGATAATAATTTAATGTTTAGGTAAAGCCCTAATAGTATAAGCACTAATAATTTGTCAAAGAACTAATCATTATATGGCCAACTAAGAGCTTATTGTTACAAGCTAAAGCTTTTATCTTAAACCCAATAATATAATTCACCAATAATACCACAGAGAAGATTTAACCACACCACTAATTGTTCGAAATTCCCAACGGAATCCCTTATTAAAACTCATTTGTTCCGTTTTATCACCTCCCTATCACCAATGCTTTTGTGAATTAGCCTTCTCTTTTTTATCGCCACACTATTAAATTTTATTAGGTGAACACCCTTTGAACCCAACAGGGCAATTATTTCGGTACATTTGGAAACACACCAATTACAAAGGGTGTTTTTTACCAGAAAGGGTTGCATGGTTCCAGGTGGAATCAACCACCCGTAGTAATTTCATCCCTTAGCTTCCGGGTTCTCGTCTTTCTGTTGGATCACTCGGGCGTCAAAATCACACAAAATGTTATTTATCGTTTCATTAAAGAAGGGTTGTTTTTCGTTTGCGGTTTGAGATCATTTGTCATTTCCTCTATTTTGGGACCCCTGCTAGCACACTAGAGTTAGAACTGATCAATTCGGATACTAAAGAAGAGCTAGTTATTATAATAATTATTACAGTTGTATTTACGTTTGCTCAAAATGTGATCTATAGACCTGAAAAATATGAGTTTTTATAATTTTTTTATGGGTGAGTTCAATGTGTCAACAATTTCAACGATTTGTGTCAGTTATTCAACTGAATACAGCCGTAATACGTGTGAATACGTACACAAATCTTATTAAATGTATTTTAATTAGCTGCTAAAATTAGTTTTTCGTCTATTATTTAATGTTCCAGAAAGACTAGTATGAATAAAATAAACGGTGAAATGTGACATGCTTGTGCTGTTTCGACAAAGTGATCGAAATCGATTCAGGAGATAGGGGACAATTTTGTAACAACACTTACATGTCAATGTCACTTGTTAAGTCAACAAAAAATAGTATGTACCATACAGCATTCCGTCTATCGAAAAAGAGCATGAATATTATGATAATTTACACATGTATCCCAAAGCCATCACTAAAAACCCAAGGACGATTTTATGGCAAGAACTTAGATCTTCCTTTAGTTTTTTCAATACTAATATTATTTGGCAAGCCAGCATAATATTGTGTTAATTCAATGTCCGAAAAATGGACAAAAATGGATCTCCAAAAATGGATATTGAATATGTGCTTAACTGATTGAGGCTACCTATTGTAAATAATTTGCAAATAGCCTTCAACATTTCCACAGCAGAGGTATTAAGTTACGTCTTGTTGGCAGGTTATAAAACAACATAAGGTCAAAATCAGTCTTGATAACAATTCAACGAACTCTAACGGCTTCAAGTCACAGACGTCTTATTTGGCCCGTGTCTAAATGCGATTTGCTGTTCTCGCGGCGTTCAAAGCGACTCTGGAGATTACAGGTGATCGTGTCATCGGGAGGTGTTTGATCACGGTAACATGTGTCACACAAACAATCAATCAACAGGTGGTGAGGATTGACACTGATCCTTGATCATTCATCATTGATCATGTAACCCTTTCGTTGAATACAGGCTTATGATACTGACAGGTTAGAAACCGCAGATGTAATTATTGTTAGCTATCATTATTTGCCCTTAGATACCGTACTAGCTGAAGCAAATATTTTTAAATTACGAATACCTTCTTCTTCACCGTGCCAGATAGGTTGTGCCAATAATGAAAATAAAAACTCACTGATATTTTTGTATCTTAAGATTCACAGATATGTACATTATCGTGTAGCGCTGGATGGATCCTCATTTATTATTCTGTTCTTAGAAATATCGTCTGGGCTGTAGAATGGTTTCTAAAAGTTGGCCTGTTAGAATGATATCAAGGTAAACATCAACATCAGCACACTCTATCGATTGCTTATTCTATTACCGTACTGTGATTTGTGTTTCAAATTACAACATCTTTAACATGGTAATGGAAAGGCTATTTTTATCATGGTTTTATCCATATTCAAAGCATTAACCCATTGAACAATGAAATTAACACATTTCCTTCCTTTGTCAACAATCCGAAAGAATTCCAACACTCTTCGTTATCCCAACTACCACCAATTGTCGATTGCCAGCGGGCACCCACCATCTCAGGTCCTAAGGGAGACATCATTTGCCTCATTTCCAAAATCACCCCAAATTACACAAATGCTTCATCACCGAGCGGTTAGCAGGTTCCCAGCACTAAGCGACAAATAACTGCGTCCTCGCGTCAGTTGTCAGCAAATCATGGCTAATGGGCCTAAATAAACAAGGCATCCACGACAGGTGGGCAACCGACAACGACAACGACGACCCTCTGGCGACGACCACGACGTGACTCGTGACAACCGGGGAAATCAAACTGACACTTTCATTTGGGAGGATTTTTTTCTTTTTGCCCCTCCTGAAGTCATTAGTAAACGCTTTGTCCAGTTTCCGGTCCTCGTCTGGTCTAGGGAATGTGACTGCTTTGTAACCCTTCTAGCCTCGTCAATCTTGTGTGTCCCGAGTTGATTCATCAATTGGGGTTGGATCACCCGTTGATAACACGGGTTGATAGGCATTTGTGTGTGAATTGTGGATAATCTATTGGCTATTGGATTGGTCTTTTTTACCTGGAGGTTTGTTAGTTTGGGAGTCCTTTGAATTAGATATGGGTTTAGGGAGTTTTGAGGAAAAAAATAATTATTTATGTTGTGATTCAGAATTTACGTATTGACCGTTGAATTGAAAATTGAATCTTGGAAATAATGGAAATTCCACCCTTGATCTTGTAGTTTGAGAGTCTGGCTGTTTTGATTGATGAATTGGGTCTGGGTCTGGTAATTTAGAGGAAAAATCACGTTGATGTTTCTAATTAAGGTTCAATTTTGGAAATACAATAGATCCACGAAAATAACACCAAAGAATATTATTTTACTATTGTACTTCCGAGCAAAGATGTTTAAGGGAAAGAGTTATAAAGAAGTAACATTATCCACGGATCTACTGTTTTGCAAAATGTACATTCTTGTGTTGATATGGAATAAAACTTGCAAGACTTACGGAATCCCTTTTATCTATATCTACTAGAATGATTTTCATGGCGTGATGAAAAGAACTCCTAAAATTGGAGTTGTTAACAGTTTTCCTCATAATCGTACTTGATTTAAATATTTATTTTCTGATTTTAAAATATGTCATATTCCCTAGGCCTTTATAAAAAATCCGTTGAAAACTAACTAAATATTGCCACGATTGTTATACGTGAGACTCCTTTTATCTATGGTGTAATCTAATCTTTAAATTAGGCAACACTTCTTTGGTTTTATACATATTTGTAGGTCTAATATTATTTAACCTATTTTCACCTCCCCCTAATTCCTAAGGTTATATTTTATTGCTTTAATTATTGAACTAAAGAAACTTTTGGAGTTTATGACCTCGGCAAATTTAAATCAAGAGCATCAACCACACATCGGGACTCGTCATGTCAGGACCATCGAGGTATAAATGGTCAGGACTTGTTTGCTATTCTACACAAACGAGCCCCCTATGAAATACTTTGGAACTGCCAAGTTATTGTTGGTTTTTAACACAGAATGAAAATTCTCGGACAACTTCCTGTCCCCCATGACCATTTCTCATCTATTAAAAGGGGGCCTGGGGCCAAAGGCAAATAAAATAATTATAAATTTTCTAACCTACTTGTTAATCCTTTCTTATTGCTAAACAAGCAACAGAACTTGTTGGGGTTAAATACAACGGTCTCTAGGAAAATAACAATTATGAAATCCATGCGACACTTCACTCTCTAATACTAACGGTACAGACTACGCACATGACTTGAGAAACACACACTTACTTTGACCACAAAATGCAAATTGTTCACAACATGCAAACAATGAAAAATTAATGAAGTAACGATACAACAATCAGCTGTTAAATTATCAACCCATGTTTCACAATCACATGTCACATGATTAGATTATGCATACCGGCAAACCCATTACTGTCACAAATCTTTACAAAAATAAAACTTTCATAATTATTAGCAAATCTACATGAATGAAGCTTTCCATTGACCTATTATTTCATCAAATCTGTCAAGTAGAACTGTAAATTTAATTCTGCAAAGTTTAGCAAAAATAAATATCTCTAATTCAGTATTTTCAACAACTATAAATTTGGAGGCTGCTTAAACTTTTTTGCAAATAACTTTTAAATGGTGGTGAAATCGATATCGAGCAAAGTGGAAGGTGATATTCTGAAAGAGAATATTATTTTCTACAAATCAGTACTATGCATTTCTTCAAAATACAAAAAGCAGTCATAAGTTGCCTCCAAGTAAAATATGTGAAAAACGAAGTTTCCAATGTATTTCTTGTGGAAAACATGTTTTATTTTTTATTTTTGCCATATATCATATTATGATATACAAAAACAAATTTCCATAATTATTTGCATGAGTTGAGCTTTCTATGAACCATTAGTTATCAAAATCGGTCCAGTAGAAGTCTAGATTTAGTTGTACAAAGTTAAAAGCAATCTAACTTCTATAAATTTGGAGGTTGCTTAGCTTTTTTGCAAATAAATTTTTAATGGTAAAGAAATCGACCAAAGTGAAAAGTGATGTTCTGAAGGAGAATACAATTTCCTACAAATGTATACTATGCATTTCTTGAAAATACTCAAAAAGGCAGCCAAAAGCTGCATCCAAACAAAATAAATTTAAAACCCCTGTTTCCAATGTATTTCTTATGGAAAACATTTTTTCACCATAAATCATAACAAAAAAATTCATAATTATCAAAAATCAAATCTACACGAATAAAGCTTTCCAACGACCCATTAATTAATAAAATCGTCTATTCGAACTATAGAGTTGTACAAAGATTTTTAAAACGGAATCACATATAAGTAGATTATTACCTCCAAACAACCTTTGAGAAATACATGAGCCTCTAACACTGTTTTTAACTAATTAATTTGCAAACCAACTTAATTCTATTTTAAAATGCCATTCAGGATCAACAATATTATCCAAATGAACAACACGCGATAAAATGACTCGTGTGAAAATCACACGGTTATGTTAACCGGCACAGAAACATAATCCACACAGTAACATAACCTCACAATATCAGCCACTGACAGGAAACAACTGATCAAGAACAGCTGACTCACGGTCACGTGACTTACAGAATTACGTCATATGGAGGTTCTTGACCCTCTTGTTTGGTATTGTATTGTATCTTCTCATTACCGAACCATTTGTGTTCATTTGCAAGCCAGTTTGTGGCTTATTATTATATAGAACGAATGATTGAGGGAGATAAACTATAGACAAACTTTTACGGCAATATATTCGTAATTTCCAATTAATTCATATCCTTCATTATTATTTTTTATATCCATACTCAGTACAATTGCGAGTTTATAAATATTGTCTTTACACGTATTGACGTATTTCTCTCCAACCGTCAATGAACATCAAGATGGATAGTTCATATCCTTCTTTTTTGTATTTTCTGACAATCCCATACTCAATACAATACTACAGTAGTTTATAAACATCCCTCCTCTATAATCATTGCTGGACATAGATTACGTCCAGTTGGATGACAACATTATAAGATTATTTACAATTTGCACATAACACATGTCCACATTTTGTATCTACTGTATTTCCAAACCAATCCGGACGCAATACAGCATCAGTAAATAAACATCATAGCGTCAAAAAAATAGTTTACAATCTCTATCGTCACAGTTTCTCAGAATCACAAGAATACAACTGCATCGTAGATCCGTAGACTAAACGCCGCGCCCTTAGCTTATCTACCACGCCTGATGACTCGGTCTTTCATCACAAGAAACAGACAGTGTTTTGGGGTTTTTACAAAATCAGTAAACACGGTAAATCAAAGACTCGCCCCAGGAAGTGATGTTTAGACGGGGTGGAGCATGGAGCAGGTGGCGTGGTGGTGGTACATGGGTATTTTGAGCATCCCTTATAACAAGTGGAGACAAGAGTGTCTTCCGCTGACTAAACACACCCCTAACTGCAGACCCAACGCGTGGGGTGCAGCAGATAACGCTCGGATAACGCTGATACAAGGGTGGCAGACCACCCAAACATTTGGAGATGGTATGCTGATATAGTTTGGATCTGTAAAAACTTGTTTTAAAAATGGATCATGTGGGTATTGCACCAACGAAATTCACTCTTGGATACCGAAGTAGATAATCCATCTATATGTACCTGAAGGCTGTAACTTGTTTTTATTTACAAAAATAGTTGAATTTTTGTCACTCACAGACAATTGGTCGTCGCTTATATAGTCCGTGACCAACGTCTGGTCGCGGACTATGAAGTCCCGAGCTCGTGAACCGCCCCTAAGGGCGGGGTTAATCTCCACTTCACCCTTGATGTTTGTTACTGAGACAATTGATGTGCCTTTAAAATGCTTTAGTTTACTATGAGTGTATGAGTTTTACTTTCAGATTGGGTAACCGTTGTTGGCAAACTCAGCATAAATCAGTAGTCTACATGTCTACATTCCCTATGAGGGTGTCTACACTCTGGCGTTGGCTTCATGAAACTATGCACCTCTCGGAAATGCTCTCGTCTTCAATATCAGCATGGAAATGCAAAGTCAGCGCTTCATTATCAAACAAATTAATTTCATTATAATCCTTGCTGACTAAGAAGGGTTTCATGGTTTCACAAATTTTTTCTATCCCCTATCGGAAAATAGAATCTTCATTCTAGCCTCGCGAAACTTAGCTTTTAACACAACTGTGATTTACAAATAAAATTTATAAAGCATTATTCATTATTTATTCATTATGACCTAATTCCACTTAGTTGTAATTTTACGTCTATACTTGCATAGAGATCAAATAATAAGTTAAATACTCATTTAACTCTATGTTTTTGCCTAATATGCCTCTACAAACATAACACAACGAAATACGTTTCTCACACCACACCTAGCTTTATCCCTCAGCTGTCAACGTGTTCCCTGCGGTCGCCATCCTCTTAGCGTCCCAGCTGGAGTTTAATCAAGAAATAAATCCTTTAATCACGACGTGCGCGCCTCTTTAGTTCGGCTGATTTGAGCTCTGGCAGCGAGATTTGATTCCCCTTCATGAGTGGGCAAGCGGTCCCTCAGGCGGTTATACATTGGATGTGTCACTTGTCTTGTTTTATTTCGGACCCACTTAATTTCAAATATGATTTAAACTGAGATTGTGTTTGGTAATATCCCGTGTAGCATTGTGAGTTCAACCTTCAGTATCTAATAGTCAATGGTTCAACCATAGACTAACCAAAACAAGGAGACTTCTCATCCCATTGTAAATTTTGAAGCACGGTTTTCGTGTCTAGTTCATGTACGTGACACAAAGGCGCTAGTGTCGATGAAACTTTGTTTCCATTATTTTAGGGTTAATTTCTTGAATTGTACTTTACTGTTTGGTTATATAACTAGGGGACAAGTTATTGTTTATGATTAGATCGTATTATTTGGTTAAACGAGGTTTTAAATGGCTGTAATAACGGGAAACAAATTGTAAACAAAACACGACCTCTACATAAACCGTACAGAACTAACAATAAAATTGTCTTCAGCTGTTCCATAAGGATGAGAAATCTACCAAGGGAGTATGTTTTATCTATGGTTCAACCAATGATTCTAACTTAGTCTGATTTTATAGACATTTCTATATAATACTAGGGTTGCTTTCAGAGAGGTGAAAGCCAGTTGAGCGGAACAAACGTGATTTGATATTTGTATAAGTAACTAAATGTAAAAAAAATCAATAGATGTATTAATGCTTGTTTTATTGATTAAAATTATAATAATTCAAATTTGTTTTTACTACATCTTGTTATTCAGACACCTCTTCCAGAAGTGCATTATGGTAGTTTTGACCAGGAAAATATTACAGTAGTTGGAATCTGATATTAACATCCAAAAAGGGCATTAAAGTATAAAAAAGAGAAAGGAAATTTAACATTCAAATTCAACTGTAGCCTACAACAAAAACATTGGTCTTCATTTTTCACCCTTACAATCGGTTAAAGTATTTAAGTATAAAAAAACAGTAACTATTTAAAAAAACTAGTATTAAAGTATAACATCAGGAGGGAAAATTTGACATTTAAATTCAACTGTGCAACATAAACATTGGTCTTCATTTCAACCCTTGCAATCGGTTAAACTCAGCTTTCTTTGCTGAAAATAATTTATGATTGTTAATACCAAGTATTCTTGATATGATTGTAATGTAACTAGAATGTAGATCTTCCACCATTATTGGGACGATTTAGAGACGGCATTTTAATACTGGCCTTAATAAAACCATTGACCATTGGATACAGAAGATTTTGATGAAAAAGCTGGCTATAAATTTAACATGGGGATGGAATGTCTAGTTGTATTGATAGTCATAGATAAAACATAGGCCTACGAAAAATGTAGGGCTATTTCATTGCAAGACTCAATGTAAAACACCTTTAAAAAACTAAAATGAACTGAATTATCAATCATGTATTTCAATGTGTAAACACGTAAAATCTGCAAAAAGACTAATTTATTAAACAATAAAATAAGATGGCTGAAATGTAGGCCTAAACATAAGTAATTTAAGTAAACATAGCATTCAGCTGATTTAAGTGAAAACAGAATAATAATTAGAAGGGAAGACATGCCTTAAATATACAATGTAGATATAATATAATTAGAAATTAGTAGCCTACTTCTGGACAGGCCTAGACAATTATCCATACCGTGGTTAAAAGTGTACTTCTATAAGCCCAGGTAATTAATTATTTGCTTATTATTAAGGTTGTAACTGGACGTATGTATAGTCCGTGGCTTGGCAATCAAATAACAGTATTTATATAGGATAGGCTACTGTTATCAACATTTGAAATTACTGAATTGTTACCAAATTACTGTTTCACAAAATGCAGATTCCATTTTCAGCCGAGCCATTAAAATGAGGATTTGCCGAACAATTATTAATATTACAGAATAGTATTTAATGATGTACAACTTTTCACATTTCATAAATTATATGTTAGTTTTGCTATGGGCAAAGGTCCAATTCAAAATGTTCATTTCTTTTGATTTTTATGTAGTAATTTGCTACAATCATTGACTTTATATAAAGTCAATGCTAGAATACAGTAGATGGTTTGTTAAGACCATATGCAAACATTTTTGAAATCGTTTCCCCGTTTAACCAACTATTCCAAAAGATAAAAATTATATGGTGCAACACAAATAAACAACTCGATCACCTACCTATAACATGCTATAACCTACACTTTACCTTCCTAATCTAACCTTACTTCAAAACACTTAATGTAGTCACGAATACTCATAAACCCCGACCTTCCCACATGCCTAAATTAGATCAGTGTTCAATCTGCGTTTTATTAATAAGTGTAATAACTTACTGCACCGTCAATGTAATTTAACATTATATAATCTGTGATGTATTATCGGATTAAATATCGATTTCGATGTGGTTCGATATATCGCTTATTAAATCCTGATTTCTAACATTGGCTGTTTCTAATCAGCTGGCAACACAAATAGGTTCCCAAGAAAGTAGTCACTGGTCCGTATCCCTCCGCTACTTGTTTATGCTCCACGCATTGAGAAAGTAGTTCCGTATATTTTCTCGATTTTCAGTGAATTCCGCGCTTTAAAAAAATGTTTTAACGGCATTTTCTTGTTTATTAAAATCTTTGGAATGGTTTAAAAACGTTTAAAAGAAAAGTATAGAAAGTTAAGAAATACCTTATGATTCTCTTGTTTACATTTTTCTTGTAAACAAAAAAACTGTCATAGCTACTTTAGTCCCATAAGCCTAATGTTAAAATTTTGAAATTTTAAGTTCGTTTTAAATTGCATTAGCATTATCTAATTGAAATTCGTTTGTTTACAAACCATCTCATTATTAGTCTAAGTAGTCTTGTTAAGTTTGGCTGAAATGTGTTCAGCCGTTATTGAGTGATGGTGTTATATTGTTTGCATTGAAGTTGATCCCAAAGAGCTTCGCTCGCTTCGCTCGCTCCGCTCAATAATAACTTGTTTCAAAGGCTCATTTATGCTGTGAGTTA